CCACACAAAGCAAGCCGATGTACGGCTGATTTCAGCCGATGTACGGCTGAAATTAGCCGTACCAGCCTGGAGTGAATAGCCGAACTGTGTTCGGCTCACTTCACTTCAGATCGCTCATTCACTCGGCTGCCCTCGGCAGCTTCGTGAATAGACCCCTTAGACTTCCATTGACAGAGAGGAACATTGAAGCACAGTCATTGGACAAGACTGCTAGGCAGAGATAAACTGTATAATGAGCAAATATGGCTGCCCTCACATATGTAAATATTCACAAATTAAAGAAATTAAATTAAGAAAAATATTTACATTTTATTTAAACTGCTCACAGCACCTTTATTTCAAAAATTGTGACAACAATTACACTTCCCCATTAAAGTTAAATTTGAAGGTTGTTTTATATTAACTGCAGTAGAAAAACCTGGATGGAGAATTGTGTTACATTATCATTGATATTTTCAGTTGCATTACCTGTCTAAGTTGAGTTTGTGTGCCAGCATCCTCCAGTCATGGCCTCGAGTCTGGGGAGCATCTAGACTACTGCAGAGCTTCTGCCGAATAGTTAGAGGGATACTGAAAGCACTTGGTCCTATAATGGTAGTAATGGTACTCGCTGAATCCATGAGAGGATAATCGATAATACAGCTTGTTTCCTGCAAAAGGAATAAACAAATCATTTATGCTGAAGACCATTTCTGTGTATGGATTGGAGCACACAGCTTCTTCTAACTTTATAAGACTTCTAGCTGTAAATTCCAAAACTCCCTCTGCCGGCATCATTTCTAGCCTCCTGCGATGAATAAAATATTCATAACTAGCTTGCCATTAAACTGTACCTCTGTTTGTGTCCCTGGATGTTTAGTCTATGTCTGGAACACAGACCTGTATCAATTAGATCTAGCCTAGCTTGCTGCAGGGGTTAATTGCACTAATGCATGTAAACTAGACTTGTCTTCATTCAAAGCAATTCATACAGCATTTTATACACAACATTGGACTGCTTTTTATAACTAATTACAAGAACTTTACCATGGGCCAATATATGTTAAAAAAAAAGGATAGCAGCTTAATTTGCATAGTTCATGGACTCATTTGTGCCTGCAAGATTAGATATTGTAATTTACAGCAAAAATATTGCATAATTAGGATACATAAGTGGCATATAAAAATGTAAAATATCATGTAAAACATATTGCTATATATAATTGATCTGGTAAATGAAAGTAAATAATAGACACAAAATCCCCTGTTAATGCTTAAACACAGCAGAGTTTGTTCCTCCCAGGGGGGATATTCATAATCCTGCTGTCATTTAATGAAATAGTAAAGAAGACCATTGAACCCTTTACTAGTAGGCCAGCAAGTGGGTGCTCTATTCCAGAGTTCAGCAAGGGAGCAGGATCTATTGAGGACCCTCTTTAAAAAGCTCACATAAAAGGCCTTTTATGAACCAACCTAAGCCTGCCCTGCATGGACAGTGCTTGTTTGTGTTGTTACATCTCAAAACGATGTATTCTTATTGTGACGCTGTCCTCAGAAAAACAGTAAGAACAGCCAGAGTGGCTGCTGCGCGAAGGCTTCAATAAAGCTTATGAGTAGTAGGTGACTGAGTGTACCGAGATGCTCATGGGGAATAGATGGCCTTTTAAACGGCCATTCTCTTAAGCCTTATGTCGTTGCAGAGAGCACAAGAATTATATGATGGGATTCCTGACCCTTTGTGATGTCAAAAACGTAATATAGCATTTCCTTGTTAGGTTTTCAACATCACAGGGGACAGAGAATCCACACAAATAATCCCTTGTGCTCTCTCACTGCAAATAAGAAAGGGAAGAAGGCCTTCCCATTAAAGGTCTCCACACAAAGAGACCCAAAGGACTCACGGAGTGGATCAGTTCTGGCAACATGCTGCAGAGAAAATCTGCTTGCTGCAAATCAGTTTGATCCACTGCTAATCCTGAGGTTAAACTGGTTGCTTATCACTGACTGTTAATATTAACACGTAGTAAAGTGGTTGTTGAATCACAGGTCATGCACATCTTATAAATTCAAAAAGAGAATGCTTAGTTTTTCACTTTTATTTATTAACAACAATCCTTGGTGGATTGATATTGTTTAAAGGCAATTTATAAAGAAAAATATATTTCCAAAGTCTGTCTGTATGTCCACATCAATGTTAAAATAAACATTATTTAAATGTTTACACGTTTAAAAAAAACATTCTACTTTTTGTGTAGCCATGTTTAAAAATATTTCAGTCCATGGGCAGAGCTCTGTTGAGAGCTCCACCATTCTGCAAGGAAAGACACCAAAGTCAATGATCTGCCACTGCTGTGACATTCCAATTATTTTTGAATTCCTAATGTTAAGGGGATTTCTGCAATGTTTAAAGTGACACTAAACTCAAGAGTTAAACCCTAAAAAGTACCTTAACTATTAACAGAAATGTATCTTATTTGTGTGTCACTCGGCTGTAGATCCTCAAATCATCTCTGAATTGGTGCTGACACTGTCCTTCCTTCTGGAGGGTGCCAACTTTTCTTCTCCATGGTCTTTGTGTGTGTTGTAAAGTAGCCACCGCTTCAAACTCACTCCCGTGATGGACACAGGGACCATGGGGAACAAAAGTAGCCACCCTCCAGAAGGAAGGACAGTGCCAGCATGATTCAGAGGTGATTTGAGGATCTACAGCCGAGTAATACACAAATAAGATACATATTTGTTAATAATTAAAGGAGAACTAAAAGGTGAGTAATTTACACTCATCCTCATTGTTAGAGCCGACGTGTGACATTGAAACTGTCACACGCCGGCTCTATAGATCGGAAAGTGAGCGAACACATACCGTCACTTGCTCACTTTACAATCATCTCCCTGCAGTGAGCGGTGATTGTCAGTCACCACTCCCCGCAGGGATTTCCCCCTCCCTCTCTGATCATCCGATTCTCCAATGCCGACTGTAGCAACGGACGGGGAGGGGGCGGGCACAGTTGGCTCTGCCTCTAGGTAGGCAGAGCCCGCTGTCAATCAGCCAGCTGGGTGGATCTCAACAGTATTGTCGGGATCCGTCCCGGCTGTGGCGCTCTCAGTATATAGTGGGCAATAGCCCGCTATATACTAAGCTTTGGGTCACTGGTGGATGTTAGTATATGTCCTCCCATGACCCTAAAGAGAATTATGGGATAAAAAGTTCACCCCATAGTTCTCTTTTAAGGTACTTGAAGGCATGTTTAAGATTTAACTCCTGAGTTTAGTGTCACTTAAGGTCTGCTCTGCAGCACTGTCACACATGAGAGATTCACATTCAAATATTTGCATATTCTAAACCTACAATAAATAACGTTTAAAACATAACCTATCTGACCTCTGTAGCTGCAGGTACTTTGAGGCAATTCTCCCTAAAATTTCACAAGAGACGCAATGAAATCATTCAAGTGGGTCTCAGCACTTTGCTCTGAACATTCTTCCAGGGTACTACCCTTTAAACATGGATTACTCCGCAGTGTTGGCAGTTGCAGAGGTCTGTAAAGAATTGTTTTACAGTTTATTTACTTGTTATTTATTTAGCTCTCTATAGCCTTACCACAGTTCTACTTAAGAAAAAGGAGCAGCTTTGTCATCCTTTCTTGCAGATACTGTATGTTACAACAGGTAGCATAGCAAGGCATTTTGAAAATGACTGTTTAGGATAGGTACCACAGGGAGGGGTAATTACACCACTTATGTTCATAGGAAAGAATATGAAAGAAATGTTCTATAATGTACCAAGTAACTGCTGAAGTGTTTACAGTGAATATAAGACGCACTTCATATAAATTACATTCTTACTAAAATGTACTATGCAAGGGAAGAGGTTCCCTTTTACATTGTGAAAAAGAGAAAAATGAGAAAATAAAAAGAGAATTAGAAGCCATCCTGATGGTGCATGAACTGTGTAAAGGCACTTGCCCTACAGCATCTTGCTTTTATATGATTACAGAATACCCCTATTTCCTCTTCTATGTATTTTACAGCAAGAAGTATATTAGATCATTTTTTTTACATGTTATGCAGGTACGACTACAAGGCATTCTATAAAATCATGCCACAATGAGCATGGTAGAGAAGAAAGAGCGGTCAGCAAGTACTATATATAAGCTGTAATAAAAACAAATTAAAGCATTGCCTGCAATTAAATTGGCATTAGTCACCTTAATTCTGACTTAGTAGATATTACATTTTTTTAATGAGCCTTTTCTAGTGTTTATAACTGTGGATTATCACTTCTAATTAGGTGACATTTGAGTTCCTCTATGGACGGATTATGTACGTACCTCTGATGCTGTACAGTTTAGCTGGAAGATCTGTCCTTCCCCTTCTACCTGTCTGACACATAACTTGCAAGATAAGTCAACAGTGCTGAGATTGAAGCGTTCCAGAGTGAAGGTACATTGAAGATTCCTTTGGCATCCACTCCAAACCTGATAGAATGGGATTTCCTGAAAGAGCGCACAGTGATAGAAATCATTAGCTTAAACCAGCACATTAGTAGCCATATTATCATATTTTTTTTTGTTCCTGCAAGTTACCTCTCATTCTTTTGTTACTTGTACCAGCTCTTCATGTACTCCTTGTGACAAGCATAAATATTTGTGGTGTGCTTGTTGTCATGCAGGATCTACACTCAGTGGAATGCCATGTCTATTCAGTTGATAACTGTACACAACTGAAGACAGGCCTCCATGTCAACAAACAAAATGATGTTCCCTTTGGGCACGCTGAATAAATCTGATGCCCACACAATGAAACAACATAGGTAATGAGTATTATATACAAAGTGTGTTACTTCGCTGGCCTTCCTTACAATACAAATTTTGGTAGGCTGGTGAAGTTACTCTTTAACTAAATGGGTGTCATTTTGCAAAGGGAAGACCTGAGAACAGGAAAAAACGTATCTGGGAAATACTTCCTCCCCCTCTTGTCATCAGGAATCTGGATGCCTGTACTACACAAGCCACTAAGTGGCAGACACAATGCCAATAAAAATACAACTTGTACAACAAGAGCCAGCTCTTGTTATTCACAAGGAGTCTGCTCCTCTGCAGTAGAGGCAATCTTCTACTGCTTCCTTCAGCCTGTATTAGTTCAGCACATTATGAGCACAGTGTTCAGCTCCCCTGGGAGAGATGGGCTATGGAGTGAAACCTGGTTAATGGAAGCTGAAAGCACTGAAGAGAGGTTGTTCAGCCTGTAGGCAATGGCAAGAAGATGCTGAACTAGCATTCTATCCGATCCATACTGAGCTGCTTGCACAATGCTGCTGAAGTTTTGCCAAGGGTAACAGCCTTGACCAGGCCAGCGGAATCAGGAAACATGTTGTGGGAAGTATGGAACAAAGTAGCTGATGATGAGGATTACTGTAACATGTAACTGAGGCATTAATTCCAGGGAGAATCAGCATTTATGCAATTTATTAACTGAGACACCCATTGAAGCCGGTTTATTCTTGAAAACTACAATGCAGTAACCGATATTTACTAGTATTAAGTATGCTGGAGACAGATCAGCTAGGGGATTGTTTCTGATAGGTTGCCATGGGATTGTATACCTTGCACACCATAATTTGATTTCTATTTGTTAATAAATAAGGAGTAAAACTATTGCATGAAACAAGAATCCAACTAGACACTGCTTAATTACTGGTACCCTACACTGTATGATCAGAAAAAAACATTCCACATTACTTCAGACCCCTGTCAGTGGTGCAACCAAATGAAAAATTCTTCACTATAAATTTGTCATCCAGGACTGCACATAATTATTAACAAGAGCCAAAGCCACCAATGGCCTTTGCTATTCCTCCTGGATCTTAGGCTGGCCAGAGATGGGATGATTCTTGGAAAGATTAAATAAAAACGATGAATATTCAATAAATCTCATTTATTAAAATGGTTACAGGTCAATGAAAATTAACATATACAGAACATTTTCCAGCAAGCTGGAAAACCATTTTGACTGATATAGCCTACTTTTTTAGTTGTCAGTCATCATTTACGTACATAGGATGCTGCAGTGTCACTTGTTCAATGGACATTTGTAATATATTTTTTAAATCTACACAGAAACAACCCAAAATCAGCTTCTGTATGGAAAGCCTTAGTTCTAATCCATTTAAACACATGAAGTCTACTGTATTTTAATTATCCATATGAAGTTTAGACAAATCCTCCCAGAGGAAAACATTTTGGTTTTTTTAAAGAAAACACTGGAATTTGAGAACTGGTGATTGTAAATTATTAGATTGCAACCCCAATCTGGCCATGTGATTATGTACTCTATTGCTCCAACTCTGATTCAGTTGACAATGATATAAAGTTACACCAATAAGGAAGTTTTTGACTGGTAAGCTTACCTGATATTTAGCTAGCAATTTACTTTTCCAAAGTGAGTGTGGAATGTCGTGAACGGACAGGCGGAGATTATGGGTGCTTCCTTTAAAGTGAAGTGTTTTAGGCTCATCCAGTAACTGGCCACCAAGTTTTCTTTCCTGCTGTAACACTTCCTGTGTATTGTAGAAGAAAATGGGATTAGGTATAATGAAAGGATGTACAAATAATTATCACAGGATCAGGAATGGTTTCTATAGAGACTGTCACCCAATCTATCCAATCTTATCAGATTTCTTTACAGTGGACATCCATGATTGTTTTTTTATTTACAGGAACAGTCATTTTCACCCATGCCAAGGTTGGTACAGAGCTTGTAAGCTCCGTGCCCTTTTGAGGTTATTCTATATTGAACTGCACATTATATTTTTGGGGAAAATGTTTAAATTAGAGGTGCACCAAAATGCAATTTTCAGACAGAAACCAAAACTTGCCAGGCTTAAAACGAAAATTATTTTTTCTAACCTTTTGATTTTTTTTTTAAATTTAATTTTGTATTTTTTTTCTACTTTACTGTTGGGGGCTCTGGGAAAATATCAGGGTTCTAAATGTATATTCATAAGCTGTGGAGATGTACAGCACTTCCTGCTGATCGTTGAGTGCTTGTAACCGTTCTCCATCCTGACTCCTTTGGCTGTCACAGGAGGTTGAGCCGGCGGTGTGGAGGAGAGCTCAACCTCCTGTGACATGGATGAGAGCTGACTACTCTCCACACTGCCCACTTGGCCTTCTGTGACAGCTGACAGCTGTTTCCTACCCCACACTGCTCTCTATCCTGAGCCTCTGCCTGTCACAGGAGGCCTAATGGGATGGTGTGGGAGGAGAGCTCGGCCTCCTGTGACACAGCTCCCAGCACTATCCTCCCCGCCCCGTTAGGCCTCCTGAAAGTTTCTCTCCTCCCCCCTGGATGATGCTCTGTGTCAGACAGACACAGGGGGAAGGAGAGAAACACCATTGATGCACCACAATTTTGGCATTTTGCCCAAAGTACCATTTTTTGCCAATATGTTTTTGGTGACCAAAATTTCGGTGCTAGTTTAAATGTACTTGTGACAACTGGGGAAATGTAAAAATACATAGGACTATAAAAAGCTCTTCTAACAGCTGTTATCGCCTTCAAACACAGCATTGCATAGACACCTACCGTATGTGTATATATTATGATAAGGCATGTTTGAATATTGAATAGTAGGCAAAATTTTTAACTTTAGGGATGCTGATCTGTCATTAAACAATAACAATTTGGGGAGTTAGCTATGACCTCACGTCCTGCTCTGCCCAGTTATTATTCATTGGCCCAGGACCTGCTAGAAGACTCTTGCAGGTGCCGGCCAATAGGAAACCCACAATGGTACCAGGCAGGTCAATACATACTGTTTACATAGATAATTACTTTGCTGTACCAAGATAAGAGCTCATATCTACATTTGTACATTTAAGCATTTTGAAAATAAATTTCCACTAAATCTGAGATCAGTTCCATGTAATTAATTTGATGCTTACAAAAATCTGTGTATTGATGTAAAACCCCATTTGATGTTATTTATTTAATAAAATATATTTGTTAGCAGGATGTACCTGCCTTGGTATAAAAAGTCAGTCAATGTACAAAACTGCTAATATCAGCTACTTTCTGTTCTGTAATACCATAAACACAATGGGGGGAATTTATCAAAACTGGAGCAAACTAAATCTGGAGCAGTTACCCAGGGCAACCAATCAGCTTATCTCTTCAGTTTGTTCAGTTAAGATTTGAAAATGAAAGGGAGAAGCCATGAACAGTTGCTCCAGATTTTGTCTGCTCCAGTTTTAATAAATTCCCCTCACTGCGTTCAGTCTACATAATTATGTGTGAGATTGTGACATAATGTTGGTGACATTTAATATTACAATAACTGGTATAGGAAGATTAAAACACACCTTAAAAGAATAAAATAGATTTTAACATTTAACACTAAAGGGGTTATTCACTATGGAGCCGAAGGATACAGCCGTAGCTTTAGCTGTTCCTTCAGCTCTATTCGGCCGTCTTTGCCCTTCGGTTCAGTTGAACCGAAGGGCTGCTGTACGGGCTATTCACAATAGCAAAAAGGCAGACAAGCGGCTCAGCCGAAGTGACAGCCAAAGCATTGGGAAAGGTCGGCCGAAGCCGACCGATCTCCACGCAAATGGCAGCTGGGCAAAGCCAGCCGTGATCTCACGGCTCGGTCCGCCCAGTTGTAATGACAGATCAGCGTCCCCAAATGACCTAGGGATGCTGATCTGTCATTAAACAATAACAATTTGGGGAGTTAGCTATGACCTCACGTCCTGCTCTGTCCAGTTGTTATTCATTGGCCCAGGACCTGCTAGAAGACTCTTGCAGGTGCCGGCCAATAGGAAACAGTTGGGTGGAGCCAGCTGTCACTGCTAGCTACGCCCAATTCTTTTTTTTTCTTTAAAATATATATTTTTTTTTTATCATTTTTCAACATTTTTATTTTTTTCCGCTCATTTAACTTTTTTCCTATTCTGCTAGCTGCCTCGGTGGTACTGAGCAGAATTGCCAAGCTGAATATATATATATATTTGCCTATTTATTTAAATTTTTTAATTAATTTAAAAAGAATTTTTCCCATTCATTTCACTTCTTTTCCATTCAGCTCAGTACCTTGGAGGTACCAATGCTCTGCGGCATTCGGCTATTCACTCACTGCCATTTAGCCCCTTTCAGAATAGGAGTTAACAGCAGCGAGTGAGCTGCCGGAGCTTCGGCTCAGCTGATCCAGATGTTGGATCGGCTGACTCGAAGTCCCTCTGCACTTCGGCTCAGCCGAACATGCAGAGCATGTTCGGCTGCCCGAAGGCAGCTGATGTACGGCTGATTTCAGCCGTACTGAGCCGGAGTGAATAGCTGAACGTTGTTTGGCTCTGTGCATTTCGGCTCGGTTATTCACACGGCTGCCTTTGGCAGCTTTGTGAATAACCCTGTAAATGATTTCAAAATGTAGTAGATCCCATCGCACTCTTGACTGGATAAAGCCCAAACGAAAACTGGGGGGTGCTGAAAGTGACAGCAAATGCCTCCGCACATCAAATGCAAAACACCATGAATCACTCGCATTCCGTTTGTAGATATGTTTCAATCTCCTTTATTAACTGAACATGATGTCACATACACAAATCGACATTTAGAGATCAGGCAATCCCTTCTTCAGGCAAACAACAGTGTTGCCTGGTCCCGAAACGTCGCATTGTGTATGTGACATCATGTTCAGTCAATAAAGGAGATTGACTGCTTTTTACAAACGGAGTGTGAGTGACTTCATGGTATTTAACCCTGTAAAGGTTCATACACAGAATGTGGGGTACCTTGAGTGCATCTTGTGTATCATCTAAGCAGTAAACCCGGATGTTATACTCCAGAGATGTGCAGGATGTTGGCCCGAAAATAGCTAGTTTCAGTCTCTTTGCTGATGATTTGCTTGTAGATTGTCCCACCAGTGAATAGGTGCTTAATGTTTCTGTGAGGATGTGACAGGCTTCTGAATCCATCTGGATGTAACAAGGTGTGGTAAAATTCTCTTCCCCAACAACTACAACATCCTGTAAAAAAAAAAATGTTGTTATCATAGGCCAGTACATGTACCTTATAGGTCGTTGTAAGAAGTGCCATTCACAAATGTGTCCATGTTGAAGTAGCTATCCAAAATTCAAAAGTTTTTTTTTGCTCTGGATAGCATTTCTGTAAAAATAAGTCAAGGCAACTGGAATTGCTGTATTTTTCTTGAAGGCGTTTCACTGGACAGCCGACCAGCTCTCAATTCAGAATGACTTGTACAAAAAAATATCTGGGAATAAATATGGTGAATGTTGCTCCAATCCACATAATCTGTCACAACAAGGTGTTGATTGCCTGGTTCAACCCCTGGTTGTGACAGATTATGTGGATTGGAGGGACATTCACCATATTTATTTCCAGAGAATTAAGAGTCATTCTGAATTGAGAAAGCTGGTCGGGTGTCCAGTGAAACGTCTTCAATAAAAATACAACAAGTCCAGTTGCCTTGACTTATTTTTTACAGATATACCATGACCTGGATGAATGAGAACCTTCACAGACATTTGGATAGCATAGGTAATGGGTTAAATCTTTGTCAGCTTCTTTCTGTCTGTGTTCTATTGGAGAGATTATTCTTCAATCCCTTTCCTGTAGACAACCGGACGTAAGAGAAAAACTCTCCAAAGTGATGGATATAGATTTACCCTTAATTCCTGATATGGTGACAAGTCAAATCTGGATTTTCTCTGACTTTCAGTTCTGTTAACAATGGTCCCCAAGACAAATAGAGAGAGTGAATTAAACCAGCAGGAAAAAAAGCAAAAAAAACCTGATAGAGTTTCTAATCCTTCCTTGCTCTATCAAACCCACAATAAAAGGTTTCAGTTTAGATACATTTTAAGATATGTACTTGTTATCCTTTGTCACCTCTTTTAGGCTCAAAGATGCTAAAAATACCAGCGGGCAAGACATAATTGTTCCCTCATATTGGTGATTTTTAGTTCCAGTTTGCGGTAGATATGTATGGGTACATAAAAAAAGAAAACCTTCTAAAATACCACCTTTATCTCAAATATCACCTGAAATAAGCTACTGGGACTTGTCTCTCCAAGATTTTTAATTAAAAGCATTTCTATATAAACTAATGCCCAATTAATGATTACTGCCCCGTTATTAGCTACTGTAAATTCTGCATAACCAAGAAAGAGCAAGTACTAAGCATATGTGCCTAGATTGTTAGTACAGCTGCCCATAAGCACATCATAACCATATAGAAAGTGAGTTTTGAAATTCTTCCTCACCTAGCTTGAAATCATTTCGACAACCAGCAAGTATAAACAAAATCATATTTCACTAAATCTGTCTTTGGCTGGATTCATGTTAAAATAATAACTTGATTTTGGGTCCACCATATCTAAGAAGAGCAATCTTGTCTACATAAAGATTTTGTATGGCCAATAGTCTGTTATAAACAAAATCAAGTATTTAAAATCAGGCGTAAATTATAATTGGCAACATGATTTCTACAGTACCATGGTCTGCTCCACAATACCCTGATCTTGGCTCACATATGACAGATTTTCTTTACCAAAATTGCCGTATATAATTCCCTTTAACATCAACTCTAGCGATTACTTATACCTGTTGTATGCTACCTTTTTCTTTTGGCAGATGCACTGTATTTATCCATAAAATATAGTACAAGTAACATTGTACTCACAAGTCAATCAGTAACTGATACAAGAGGTTTTCTTTTCATATTAAATTTAGCTTACAAGAAAACATTAGGAAACAAGATAATATCCGCTAGTTGCAGGAAAAGTGCATATCTAATCCATTCCTAAACGTGAAGTGTAGAAGTGAACACATTTCCTAAAATCCATTATGTTTTGCATAAATGCGTTTTAGCAAATGTAAAATAAGTTTACTTGAAGTAAAGAGGTACTCACTTTAATAAAAGAAAAAGTGATATATACAGTGTGTGTGTGTGTGTGTGTGTGTGTGTGTGTGTGTGTGTGTGTGTGCATGTGTGTGAGTGTGTGTGGACCACATAAGCTATTAATTTATGAAAAAGGCTTCCTTTAAGCTGGCCAAGAATTCTATCTTCATTTCTAATATTTGGGAACATTTGTTTGTTGTTGCTACGAATGCTGCCTTTTTGAGTAGTTGCTGGCATGTCTTATCACATAGTCACTACTTACATCTCTTTAGAACTGCTGGCAAATTTAATTACATGGTCACTACAGTATATTTTTTTAGGATTCCAATAGCAATAGAATTCTTAGCTCTACCCTACTGCCAAGCCAAGTGACGACTTGATCCAAGCCCCAGACAGTCCAAAATTTAGGAGATTCAGATGGCTGGAGATAAAGATTCATGTGCATGATACTTAATTTATGACCTTGTGGAACAAGGTGGAGACACAAAGTAATGGAGGGAAATCTCACCACTGGAAGAAGTCATTGAGCTATTTAATTCCTTGTGCCCACCCATACTTAGCACTTCTGAGCAGAACTGGCCTATAAGGGAAAGTTGTACTGAGTAATTATTTTGAAAATGCTAGTTGTCCCGTTGGCATATTGGTCCTAGGCATATAGATTGGTTTAGCCACATTTAGCAGTGTAAAACCAAACGAAACAGTCTCAGGATGCAGTAACCTCTTGTCTGTGTAACCACATAAGACACATAGACTGATTGCACCTGGACAATGCTGAATATCTAGGTGTGCATTCAGCCATAGCAAAGCATGGCATGCTTCTGGGTGCATTTAGAAATGCACCCAGAAGCTCCAAAGACAAGTATTTTAATTCCCTTCTGCATGGAACATTAGGTTTCCAGGTTTCCTATAACAACAACTGGGTGTTTGCAATGACCACAAGTTTACTGGACCACCAAAGAAGTGACTACTTTTATAAATCAATGCATTTTCTATTTTATGCGTTCAGCAATCATTTGCAGTGATGTTTCCGATGTTACCCAAAAGTCACTATTGAACATTCTCATGAAACTGAATTGTTTTATTTTACCTCTGAATTATTAAACCATCTAATTTTCCCATCTTGGCTCTTTATTTTTAGAAAATTGTTGTTTATTTGTACAGTATGTCTGACACATATTTGTGTTTGTACTGGCGCGGTACAAATAAATATGGTGTTACTTTCTTGCTTTTATTAAAAACGTTAAAAATTTACCCAGCGGAAAATATCTGGACTGAAACGTGAGCAAATAAATCTGACAGTGCCTATTGATTTCTAAGAAGCCTTGACATTAATGTGGCCACAGGCAATGAAATGACACTATCGTACTTTGTCCACTATGTGGTGCTAGTGCCAAATACATAACAATTTTTCATTTTCTTCTTTGCAAAGGTCGCACAGGGAAAAGCAAACAACTAGCTGACTAGAGGCATCAAACAGCAAGTCATTTGAACTCATTCCCTACCTTAGCAACAATGTTGACTGTTAAAAAGTAGGATGATACATAAATTTACTAATAAAAGTTATGGTCACCTTTTTATAACTAAACATCCAAGATATATCTTTTCTGTTTGTGCACATTTAAGCATGTGATGATATGAACCAGTGAAATTAGGTGACACAGAATTTAGCTGATCTAAAAATTGTTTTCCTATGCAATTTCCCATGGACATCAATAGAACATCACCCTTAACGTTATCATACTTATCAAAGAATATTTTTTTTACTTGTTGACATGGCCACTTACACATAAATCTGGGCCAATATGTTAAGGTGGCTGTAGATAAAGCAACTGATCTAGTAATGAATGATCAATCATCAATTAAAATATAGAACAAAGTTGTGTGCCTCACAATCAATTGAAAATATTTATTGAAGATACTGATCTATCAGTCATAAATCTGCATATCCATAATCCATAATCTGCATCCATATAAAAATGATTGTTTAATCTATCTGTACTATGATCGGTTCTCTGACAAACACAGATGTTTTTGACGATTGATCAGTAGCGATTAGCAAAATTCACCATGGCCAATCAACTCGGCAGAGTTAAGGTGCCCATACACTGCACGATTCGCGTACGAGAATCGCATTGAAATCCCGCTATCGTACGAGAATCGTGCAGTGTATGGAAGGCGTGCAACCGTTTCTACTGTACGGTCGCACGTCTTCCGTCGAACCAGCATGCTAGAAAACCCGCCGGGAATCGTACGATTCTCGGCGAGTTAGTGGCCTGCTGGTTCGACAACTGCCGAACGGGCCAGTGTGCGCACGCGCACACTGCCCGTTGGCAGTCAACGTAAGCCCGCCCCTCATTACAGTCATCGTAAGCCCGCCCCTCAGGGGGGCGGGCTTGCGATGATCGAGAGTACGATCTGCCTGTCCAAGATGGGCAGATCGTACGTTTTTTAAAGTACTTTACAACCATCGCAAGACTAAGGTCTTGCGATGGTTGTAAAGTGTATGGCCACCTTAATAATCAATCAAGAGCTCACTTGATAAAGAGAATAAAGGGTTTGTAATTTGTATTTTATTTGATTAGTTTAGTTTCATTAAATGATCATACTAATATATATGTGTGGCCGCAATTACACTAGTGACATGTTTAGTATATGTTGCTGGATGAAAAGATACTAGAAATTTATGCATTTATCATATATATATATATATATTACAAAGTGCTTTTGAAGAGTACACAGAATTCTGTACATCAGGTACTGTACCCTGAAGGATCTCATAATAGTAATGTCTCTCCTGCACACTAGGACCGGGTAGGTAGGAAGTTGGATCACCTACTAGTAAGTTTTGGATTTTGGGTGGCAACTGGAGTACCCAGAGTATGCCAATGCAAATGCGGGGCGAACATACAAACATGCAAATAATGACCTTTATGGGATTTGTACCCAGGACCCAGAGCTGAAGGCTGATACCAACCTATTAAGAAGTTAGGCACTGCAGCTGCACAATCTCTCATACAGTAATAAACAAGATACATATTTTTTAAATCCCATGTAAATTCCATATTTGTTCAGCTAATAACACTAAACAGTTACATTGTACACAGTTAAGTTTTACTGATGCAATTTGAGCTTTTAGCATTGTAATATAATAAACACAGTGTTCAGTATATATTAATATTATATTGAAAAATTAGCAATGTACAAAGAGCAGATCCAACATCAACCAATCTGAATGAATATTTAATGATTATATTTCAAAAAAGTTTAATATATTGGTTGGTTAGGGTTCCAGCATCTCAAAGTGCTCTGTTGGATACGCGGAAGGTGACAATTGCTGTTTTTACAACTCTTCCACAGCTAGCACTTGTTGGTCTAAATCTGTTTTATAACCACTATGCCTTAAGGAATGGGTTCAGCTTTGATGTCACTCACCTCCCACTGGCCTTGCACAGATTGCTCTTTTAGCTGGATCTTCCAGTCCTCTGCATTTGTCTCTGCACAGTGATGCATTGTAATAATGACTGGTCGAGTCATCAGTGCTCCCGGTGGCCCGCAACTTACTACAGGAGTTAGAAGTGTCTGGCTGTCTTCTATGGGTGGCCTGAAAAAAAATGTAATTCAGAATTCAAGAATATTGATGCTTTGTACTGGTAATTTACATTGTGAAGTCAATTTTACTTTTTGTACTTCTGTTTTTATTTGTCTCAAGTACGTTTTGCACTTCAATGGTCCAACGTTTCTATTCTGTTAAGAATATCAGTACTTGTGCTTGCACTATTAAAATATCTGCAAATATATTCCAAACAAAACACTAGGTTAATTAAAGCTTATTTTTAGGAAGGGGGCGGGGGACTCCCCTTGCAATGGGGCTACCACCACACTGCAAGGATTAAATGCTGTTTTTTGTCTAGGTTTACTGTGTAAATTACTTTTACTTACCATAACAGCAGGTGGCATACACCTTGTCTCCTCTACACTCAAGAGGAGACAAGGTGTATACTGAATTGTGGACTGTCCCTCGGCATCCTCAAATATAATGCAGGGTTATTAGCCTCCAACCACTAGAGTGCAGGGAGGAGAAGTCTGCAGGCACTATTCTTAAAGCCTGTGGGAGCAGGAATCAGGTAAGAAAAAGTCCTTTACACAATATCCCTAGACAAAAAATTACCTGTTCAAGTTAACCCTTGCAGTGCAGGAATAATCCTACTGCAAGAGTAGTTTATATTTAATGAAGGTAGATTTTAATAAATATTCAATACAAATAGTGGTTTCAGATATACAGCTTTGAAAAAGTTCTGTAAAGTCTGGTGCCTGTAAGAGTTTAGCAGACCTGTCTGGGCTTCCATTCATCCCAAACACTGACTAGCCATTGCAAACAATGCTATTCCATCAAATAGAGACATCCATTCCCACTCACTATTAGAAACCAGTACTGACAAGCTAGCAACTTACTCAAACCTTCAGCACACAAACATCTATAGTTCACAATTTAAAAAGCAATTCCAGGAGTGCATAACCTTATAACATGCAAGTTTACTGGCAATTTTACCCTGACTGCTTCTCATTTAAGTTCTGATCAGGTTTATGTTCTCTGTAGTAAAGAGCCAAATGTAAACACCTTGACTGTTGTATGTTGAAACAAGTGTCATTATTGTTTTGCCCTTTGAATAAAACCAGCAGATATGTATAGTAGAGCTCAAATAAGGTACTGTATGTTTAATTTCATGTCACATGTGAGCAGAATGTAAGTTGCTTTTGTAGGGCAAGACATTTTAAAATCATGTGCAAAAAGTAAACAAGAAAAATAATCTAATGTTATTAGTGCAAGCCCTATTAGCAGAGCTAAAGTATTTAAAGGTTAATATAAATAGTTATTGTTATTAGTGCAAGCCCTATTAGCAGAGCTAAAGTATTTAAAGGTTAATATAAATAGCCCTAGGAGCAGTTACACGGACTGTCCTATAGCAGCCAGTCAGAAACAATCTTTGATTAGTTTGATTTGTCTAAAGACCGGATAATTGTTGGATTTCCACGTCTTGCTATATGGTGTATTTTTGTATGGTTACAAATTGGTCCCCTAATCTATAAATATGATTATTTGAAAATATTTTAGTTATATAAGAATGCTATTCAAGTCGATTCTTTACCACTCTGTAGCCAGATAAGCCTGTGTGTGTCATGCAGAAGCCTTCTTGCTCTCATTTGTCTTGTCTAGACGTTAATTAACGCAGTCTTTGCGCATGAAGAGATAATGTGGATTTCTGTCTCAACTTCAGAAAGTTTAGTGTCACAAAGGTCTCTATTGGGATACAGTACCCAACTCTAATGAAAGGAAAGCATGTTTATTGTGCCATAATGAACTGTGACCGATACAGTAGACTTCAAAATAACATCAACATATCCCTAAGGTCAGCAGACTGATACCAAAAATAACAATGTTACTGGATTCTAGTAAACATCAGTAACTAAAATCTGTGCTGACAGTGTATGAAAACCTCAACTTCATGCAAGCATTCAAATAAAACTTCATAGTTTCTGTGCTGAAACATGTCAGGTTACATCAGTTAAATTCTGTCTATGGTGGCCATAAACAGTACATGGTTGTCAAACCTTTAAAGAGAATTTGTATTGAGAGAAATACATGAGCTGCCGTAGTTCTATTTAGGGTCACAGGAGGACAGGAGGACAGTTACCAATGTCCTCCTGTGACCCAAAAGTCAGCTTATAGTGGGCAATTGCCCGCTATATGCTGACAGAACAAAGCCATGCTACAGCAGGGAATAATCCCAACATTGTTAATCCACCCTACCTGATTGACAGCTGGTTCTGCCTCTCTAGATGCAGAGCCAGCTGTACCCGCCCCTTCTCTATCTGTCCCTCCAGTCAGCGCTGGAGGAATGGAGAGGGGAATCCCTGTAGGGAGCATTGACTGACAGTCACCACTCTCTGCAGGGAGAAGTGTGTGAACTGAGTGATCAGCGGTATATGTCACATGCCGGCTCTAACAATTGGAATAGGTGTATTTCACTCATCCGATATTTCTCCTTTAACCACATCTGAAAATGCATGTTAATGTTCATTTAAGAACAAGAACTGAAAATCTGTCTTCATTGGATGCGTACTTGCTTTTGGGCAGTTATGATCAGCAGATTGGCAGTGAAGTCAGTAACTACACATTGCTATTTGTGCTATGTGATTAAACTGACTTACATTTTTTTTAACTCTTTTTTTAACCATGGGTTTATATGCATTTGTGCTGAAAACATTCCTTTCTCGAAAACAATTTACTCGAAATCAATGATTATTACAAAGACTATTCTGTAATTCAATAAAAAGCATTCTCAAAGCAAAAAATCCAAATGGTTTCTATTTGATTAAAGCATCTAGCATAATTCTATACTGCCTCTCCATTTCCTCACTTTTAAGTGTATTTTATGACTTTGCTTAGCTCAAGTGGCTTTCTTTGTTGCAATCCAAACAGTGTCTTTTTAAAGGTTGTCAAGACCTCAATGCCACTTCTACAGTGGAGACAGCCACTTGAGAAATATGATCATCCTGACAAGTGCACAGCAAAGTGAAGATCACTAGGGATCGGATTCAGTGGCAGCCACACATTACTACAAGAACATAAAATTATATGGTGATAAGAGTCAGCAACAGAATGTCAGAAGCTCCATGTGAGAAAAAAATAGGGACCCTTCAAAATAAAACTTGATGAACGTAAATTTTAAAGTAAGTAATAAAAAATACTCGCTGTTATTAATTACACATTAGTGGCAATATAGTAGAGTTAAATTGCTAAAATCTACTATAAGTTCAAAACACTGGAAAACAAAAGCTCTTTTGCACGTACGTCTACGATGATATTCTGTTAACATCACATCAGCTGCATTCAGGTTTAACCTAATATATAGGTTTTGTAGGTTTTTAGTTTAAAACATGATATAATTTTTCTTAATAGTGTTTAAAATAAACTGATGGCTTTTGCTACTGTTCATATCTACCTACAAAGTCAAGATAGCCACAATGCACTGCTTGGAAGAAACACAATGCTCTACAATGTTGGTCCTGCATCTGTGTTCATCACCCCCTCTAAAGCAACTTCATCCTATGCCAGGGTTCCCCAAAGTGGTCAATATTGACTGCTAATGGTTGAAGGGACAAACCAGGGGGGTCTATAAAATGGCCCTTGGTCAAAAGTAGGCAGTAAATGTCTGAGGGAAATTGGTTGGTTTATAAATGTTGGAATGTTAATTGGGGTCAATTATTCTTTTGAGGTCCCTGTAGAGGTCCACATCAGTCCCAAGTCCTGAAGGTAAAGTGGCTACTGGTGAAACATTGTTACCCAGGATTGCATTGTCATCCACCAGCAAGAGTGGTCTTGAGTTGTCTCTATCAGTTGTATGTTGGTAATTGCCATGTACTGAGTGTACTCCCCCCACCTCAATGTTTGTTGGAGAGCCAGTAAGTACATTATCCCCAAACTCTGTTGGAGAACCAGTGAGTACACCCACCTCATACTTTTTTGGAGAGCCAGTGAGTAGACCCATAGCATTAGGAATGGTGCCAAAGAACTGATTGCTGCGTTTTTACTAAAACACAAATCTGAAGTGGTAAGAACCTTAATGGCAGATGCTGATGCCAATAGGAAATGTAGTCAGTATTCACAAGATCATTATTATTATTATTACTGTATTGAGGGGTCGATGAGCTGAAGTGTTGGCTACCCTTGTCCTACAGTGACTTCTTCCCCTACCAATGGAAATCTGATTTTTTAAGGTAGCCCAAAATAATGCTAACCATGACAAAAGTTAATTCTATACTAATACATAAGTGTTCTGACTGGAGTTTTCATTTAACCCCTTTAGGTCCAATGCATACTATGTCAGATGAAAAATCCAAACCTGGCACTTGACATTTTTATGAACTCTCATCTCCCCCACAACAAATTGTTATTATTCCAAATTTTGGATTGAAAATAAAAGTATAAAGGTATTCTGATTTCATTAAGCAGGGAAAATTCTTTAAATAGGAACGTCTTCAAGTAGAATGGGTTAATGAAGTAGGTCAAAAGAACGTTTGCACTGGTAGTTGTGAATCACACACTTTCACTGATGGATACCCTCCTAGCGCCGTACATGGCTCGAGATGTAAGAAGATTAGACTGTGTCCATAAACCAATTCATTGTGAAGAATGCATCTGTACTACACAGTCACATGAAATAATACGTTTTGGCAGCACTGCCATTTGAATAATAATTTGCCGCATTGATCTAGTCGACAAGAATAGCTAAGAACATAATTCTGCTTGTGAACATGAAAGAACCAGGATGGTATACACTAGCGACATAAGTAAAAAAAGTTCAATGGCTAAGCTGTTCCAGAAAAATAATCTTGTTGCAGAAAGAACACACAACTTAGAAAGAGTTAGTTACAACATGTGAAGAATTTGTTGTATTTTAGGCTCTTTTTACCTTAAAGGAGAACTATGGGGTTAGGGCTTTTCCCCATAGTTCTCCTTAGGGTAACGGTAGGACACAAGCTAGCGTCCTCCCGTCACCCTAAGCTCAGTATACCGCGAGCTATATCTCGCGGTATACTGAGAAGCCGCAGCTGAAGCGGATCCTGACAATTATGTCTGGATCCGCCCAGCTGCGTGAGTGACAGCTGGCTCTGCCTATCTAGAGGCAGAGCCAGCTGTACCCGCCCCCTCCCCGTCCAATCAGCCACTCAGCGTGGAGGATCGGATCGGGGAGGGGGGAATCCAGCCCCTCCCCAGGATCGAGAAGTGACGAACGCAGGAATGTGTTCGCTCACTTCCCGATCTACTGAGCCGACCTGTGACAGTCCCATTGTCACAGGTCGGCTAGAACTATGAGGTGAGTGAAAAGCACTCACCTCATAGTTCACCTTTAAAGGGTAGTACACTGGAAGAAGGGTAGAGCAAAGTGCTGAGACCCACTTGAATGATTTCATTGCGTCTCTTTTAGGGAGAATTGCCTCAAAGTACCTGCAGCTACAGAGGTCAGATAGGAACAATTGAGCATTTTTCTCTTTTAATTGTTACTGTTTAACTGTTTTAAATGCATTTATATTTTTGACATTTACTGCAGAGGATCTATCTATCTATCTATCTATCTATCTATCTATCTATCTATCTATCTATCTATCTATCTATCTATTTATCTATCTCTCTATCTCTTTACCTTATCTATCTCACATAAAGATATCTGACGGGATTCTGAGAATCAACAGTTCAATCAAGGCAGATAATAGTATGCTGGGGATGGAAAGATGGAGTCTGCAGAGAATCATTTAAATCGTAAATTACAGTTACTTGGATTTCCTAATTTTTTACTTCTTTTTCTTAGATCAGACAAATTTGCATGCTGATATTCAGGAGAATTAAATATCAGCAAAGCAAAAATCTACTATTTAATGATTGCAGATGTTTGCCACATTTGTATGCATGTGCATAAGGGGAGGACTTCATGGAGAACTGTGTCATGCCCTGGTGGAGCAATATGACATTGGCAGATCTGGTATAGGCAAGTATTCTACCTAACAGGTAACACCCCCCATACTGTTAGTTCCATGTAAATACCCTCTTCCTATCCTCTGCTGATTAATAGCTCCCATCTACTCCTGACTCAGTGATCAACAGCTATCATAAACCTTTGACTAAGCAATGGGCAAGTACTTTTTCAATCCACTAAGCCATCCTATATAGCAGTTTCAGACTGAATAGTTAGGCCACATTTCCCGAAGCTGAAATCTGTTACATGTGTGTTAGATGTCTGCCCCCTAATTATACTTGAACTCCAACAAACCTTTATGTGTTGGCTAAGTGCTTTGACTTTCCCCGCAGTACCTGAAACATGTGACTATTAGACCAGCAGTCAATGGCACATGCAGGTAGATGGCAGTGTTCACATTAACCCTTAGTCCTACTCTGTGCCTTTTCTCTCATCTAAAAACTTTTTTGCTTTACTATTGAAAATATTTCAGACTCATCAGCCTTGCTGTTCTCTTTTTTCTTAGAAGATTGCTTTAATCAACAAGTACATTGTGTCAATGACTGTGAAGGTGACCTCTGGTGTAAATTAACATTTTCCATGCTTCCATTTATCGCATGCTCCTCAGTTCCCATGGACACCTCACACTACAAGGTCTTTATTTCTCTACATATAATTTCAACAATTTAGCATATTACATATACAGACTCTACTTTATTCAATATTTGTTAGGCTTGTCTGTTGAGTAAAAATTGTGCAAGTTAAATATGATAGAAGCTACCAGTACAGTAACCCAATTGCTTAGCCTATGGTCAATAAAAATGTTATGTGCATGGGTGCCATGTGTTTAATTATTCAGACCTACCAAGAAAACATTTAAACATTTGTGGGAACAAATGAGTGCACCTACAGGTAATTAAGTAGTGGGTGCAGACTTTAACAATTTTCACTTATGTAGGAGGGTATGACTTCTGTATAGATTCAATGAACTTTTCCTGCAGAGCCCAGTTCTATAACATACCTAATGCATTGTAATTGTATCATCGTGCTGTGCCTGTAAGTCAAAAGTAGTGAAGCATGATCAAAAAAAGTGACACATGGCAAACTGGTTTGGCTGCTTGAGGTTAAAGTGAAGAACAGGGCTTGGCAGGGAAAGGATTACAATATTTATGGCTGATATTCTAGGTATATATATATATACATATATACTTACCATATTTGCCGGCGTATAAGATGACTCGGCGTATAAGACGACCCCCTACTTTTTGTGTTAAAATATAGGTTTTGGGCTATACTCGTCGTACATTTATAATGTTTAAATACACCGACTAAATATATATATATATACTTTGTCCTCTGCTTCAAATAAGAACATTTTGTTTCACTTTGAGCAGGGATTGACCACCAATGTCGTTGTGTAAGATTAAGCAGATACTCAACACACAGACAGTTACCTCATGTTCTCCTTCCTGTGAACAGTGACATACATTTCATACACTCTTCCCTGAGGTACTGCCCCAGCAGGGATCAGCAAGCTCACTCCTAAAGAATAAGAAGATAAAAGAAACAAACAGAAAAATCAATTAAATAATAGGAAATAATGCTTGTAAGGCGAAGACAGGCAATTTATGTTTCAAGCTTGCATTTATGTTTTCATAAAAAGAATTCATTTTACAGGGCAATGTTGGATTCCTCAAAGTCCTCACAGCCAATATGAGATATGTTGCCATGGCGATTGAAGCTCTACTTATGGCTCTCAAAAGCAAAATAATTGGTGTGAGGTGAAATGGTAGGAAAAGACTGAAAAAGCAACGTTCTGTTCTTTTTTTTTTTTTTTAAGGAAAACAAACATTCAATCATATGTATTAAGGCAATACACAATAGAAACGAGGAGGTAACACAAGTCCAATTTCTGAGTGATATTCCTGCCAGATGGAAATAGAAAGAGATGTTGTATTTTAAGCTACTTGTACAATGAAAGTTCTGATGTGATGGACACATGTATATTATATAACTTTGTGCTGTGGAACTGTGCATACCACAGAAAGCCTTGAATGGATTACATCCAATGTAGGTCAGCGGGTATACTGGCACAAAAAGGATGGATTTGCACACAAATAAAGTACAGTATAGAATTGCATTTGAATACTTAGGCATTCAGTAATGTTCCTAGTGAATGAACAGAGCATTTTTAAAGTATGTTTGGGAAGTGCAACAAAACCTGTTAATCTTTTCAGAAATTCATAGCTGTCTCTGCACACATCCATTGTTATCTCAAAGTGTCCTCCTAGTTCTAATCTTGGACTACAGAAAGATAAGTCGCAGAGATCTATAAATAGGAGTGGTTAAGTAGTTTTGCAAAACACCCTGGGCAGGGCTGACACCAGTTCACAGAAATGCTATGTGTTGTCAGCCCATAACAGGATTTAAGAGCTGAGAGCATTTCTGATCAATCAGCAGGTATTTTTCTGTACTTGCAGGGTCTTTAAATGACAGGGACATTTTTTGCCTTGACATACACTAATTTTGAAAAACAGCATAAACCTAAAGTATGGTTGTTACCCTCAAAAGTGTCTGTTACGTATGTTAATACTATAGTAAAATGAAGTTCTGCATAGCACAAAAATAAAGTGCTTCTGAAGCAATTTGGTTTTGGATTTTTGAATAGAGTGGGGAAAGGTCAAAATGTGTGTCGTGATAAACATAATTGAGTGTGTCACTTTAGGTTTTTTTATGTTAGATTTTAAATTATGTCCCCATAAATATATTTCTCCTTTCTACCTGTTCTCTCTGATACAGTCACCAAGACAGGAAGTGAAAGGAAATAATTTTCATGTGAGACAACATAAATCTTAGAGAGGCTCTTAACCAGTGGTGGTCAAATTACTTTATACAAAGGGCCTCAAGAAAATCCCCTGACATCGTCAAAGGGCCTCCTATAATGCACAATGTTTGCAGTGCTACAGAAAGTAGTCATAGACTTGACACACTACAGTAGATGGTTAGACACTACACATATTACAGTAGATGGTAAGGAACTGCTTGCTACAGGACATGGTCAAAGAATGGAGACTTGCTGCAGGAATGGTTGGAGCCAAGTTTTACCGCACAAAAGGGTCAGACACTGAAGACATGTTATGAGAGATTACTAGAGATCACTGCCATTACTGGCCTCACAACACAAAGATCCATGTAAAAGGTCACAGAAAACAGTATGCAGAAAGAGCATAAAGAACAAATAGCGCAGAAAAAAAGTAGGAAAGTGCGGAAAATAATAAACAAAATAATGTATCGAGTAGAAACCAGTCTAACAAATATTTCCTTTTACTGTCCTTGCGTAAGCATCTAGGCAAGGTAAACTGACCCACGGGCAACACTGTAACTACCAAAAGGCTGCAGGTTGTCGGTTGGCACCAGGCTCTAAATCTTCCTTACTTAACTAGAATTTGATTATTTTTTTGCCAGTGGCCCATTGATGGGAATTCCCTTCACTTACAATTCAGTTGGACAACTTTAAGATAAAAAAGGACTGTGAGATTTTTCCTCATGTCCTTCATTTTTAAACTCTTGCCAAACAGACAGGAATAAAAAGAAATACCGAAATGGGGTCACACATAGAGGTTTGCCCCTTCCACAGTTTTGCTGGAGCTAGGCTTTGAAATGCAACTGAAGCCAAACTTTTTTTCAGTTTTGGAGTGGAGATGTATAAGAACAATTTTAGGACAAATGTAGCTATTTTTGTTGCTGTCTGTGCCCCATTGTAGAGATTCACTCTACTTGTCCTGGTAAACGTTATTACTGAAAGTGAAGGAGAATCTAAAATTTTGGGTTCTCATCAGAACAGCAATAGATTACAAATATTCCAATATGGACTCTAATTCTGGTGACCTTTCTGATCACCAGGAATGTCCCTCTCTTTGGAGGGATTTCCTCTCACTTTTTTCGGGTGTGGCTATGTAATAGGAAATGAAGGGAAATATCCCCAATGGCACACAGATGGCAAAAAAGCTTACAGGAGTTATAAACCTCCCTTACTTTATCCGAAAATTTAAAAAACGTTTTTGGCTTCAGTTCTATTTCAATACGATTGTGTCCCTCTACCTCCAAATATGAAAATTAAAGCAATGTTTGCCAGGCTGTTTTGGCATGTAACCTTTTGTTTTACACCAAACACATAAATGCCCCCAATTATTTCCAGTCTAGTACAGTTAGGCCATATACAGCAATCCATATCTAACCACATACCTGAATTGGGTATAATCAGGTGTCCACCCAATGAGTTAAATGTTCCAAAAGCAGTGCAGGATGGATCTGTCTGCCTTGCTAGGCTCTGGTTCTTCATGTTTAGGGTATCATTCTCCAGTAGAGACTGAGTAATTTGAGGAGAAAGTTTTGAGGAATAATCCGAAAGATCATCTTGAGGCGTTACAGCACCAGACGAGCTGTACACTTTAATTTTCAAATTGGGAAGCGGGTCGAGGAGAGGCGAATTAGTCATTGGGATCTTGTCAGATACATCATGGAGAGCATACACAGGTCCTCTGTACATTGCCGCTGCTGATGTTAGGTCTGGTGGAATCGCCAGGAGATCTACAAACAATTAATTGTTGTAATCAATAGATATAGAGAATGCAACATTTTTTATTGGATTCATTAAAACAAACACAAACACCTTATTTAATTAGGTTTAACACAGGTAATGCAGGTGTTATGTCTTATAGTATAATTTCCCTTTTTCACTAATGCTTATGTTTTTGCAGTAAGCTGATTTGTAAGTAAACAGCACATGGAAAAAATGAAATAGGCAGTCACCAGATATTGCACAAGAGGGAAATCCGTCAGGCTGATTTAGTGCTTGCTGCTCAGAGTATTTTACCGTGCTTCCTGCAAAAAGCTATTATGTGATGAGGAAATTTAGTTTGCCTGTTAAATCTTTCACAAATAAAGCATGTCACATGCAGAAACGTTCTTTCCATAATCGGGTGTTTTGTTTATATGACAGCACGCGTAAATGGCAGACATACTTATTTCAGCTAATCCAAGGTAACGAGCGGTTTATTTACTTCATGTACAAACAAAGAAAGAAGAAGCCATAATGGTGTGTGGCTGCGTCTTTCTGTGATGGCTCTGTTAGCTGTGAGAAAAATTTAGCTGTCAAATCTGACAAAACCAGAGTCAATTCAGTGACACATTGCAGCAACGCAGCATGGTGGCTTTAGACAACACCAATAATTTGCACAAACAATCTTTTCAAAAGCTTCTGCACAGCCTACTTCAGAGCTAAAACTGGCGCATTAGCTGGTGAATGGCAGCTATAATTTCCCTGTAGCCAAATGCAGTATATGGTATAAATATGTAATGTATTTTTGATAATGCTGTTGCTGCAAAATCATTTTAAGTCTTATATATCGAGTGAGTACAACCTGTAGGCCTCAGCCTGACTGCTATTACTGATTTCTGTCAGTAATACAGCTGAATCTATGCACAGGCATATTCTGTTCTAGCTTCTGGACATATTGCTGTTTTTTAAGTATTGCCGTTGTTTGGGTCTGTGAGCTGATCCATTTTTCATTATTTGGATCAGCTGAGCCAAAGCTCCAGCAGCTCACTTGCTGCCGTTTGCCCCTATTCTCATAGGCGCAGAACGGCAGTAAGTACGTTGGAGGTATTCTGCACAGTACCTCCAACGTAGCGAGCAGAACAGCTAGATGAATGGAAAAAAAAATAGAGGTTGAAAAATTATTTTCAAAATGTAAAAGAATAGGAAAGTAAAAAAAAATAATAAAAAGAAAAACAATTAGGCAGAGCTAGCGGTGGCAGCTAGCTCTGCCCAACTGTTTCCTATTGGCTGGCACCTGCCGGAGTCATCTAGCAGGTCCTGGCCAATGAATAACAACGTCATGGCCAGCTCCGGCCAGTTGTTATTGTTTAATGACAGATCAGTGTCCCTGGGTCATTTGGGGACGCTGATCTGTCATTAAAACTGGGCGGAGCCAGTCGTAAGATCCGCCCAGCTGTCATTTGCATGGAGAACGACCGGCCCCTTGGCAGGCCATTCTCCCAGCTTCGGCTGCCACTTTGGCTCACTAGAGCCAAAGCATATGCCGTTCGGCTCGGCTGCCTTCAGCTGCTGTACGGGCTATTGTGACTAGCCGCCGAAGCCGCCTAAGGTCCCTTTCACATGGGCTGATCAGGAGAGGATTCGTGCACGGATCCTCTCCTGATCTTGGCAGTGCGGAGCAGATGTCATTGCTGTCACATCCATGTCCGCACAGTTTTTTTCTCTCTCTTGTGATGGAGGAAAAAACTGCAATTACCGGACCCATGTCTGTCTATGGGGAATCGGATGAAAACGGACATGTGTCTGCTTACATCAGATTACCCTTATCTGGCACAATCAGGTCCAGCGAAACGTATCTCCGATCCATTTGTTTGTCCAGACCTGGCTGGCGGCGGGGATAACCGGGTGTAAAAGGACGCCCATCCGTTTACATACGGCTGCCCATAGACTTACACTAAGTAGCCGATCGGGTCCGCCTAAAAAAACTGACAGGTGGACCTGATCGAACCACCCGTGTGAAAAGAGCCTAAGGTTTCGTCCTACTATACATCAGTTTTATAAAAATCACCATTCACGAGGATATGAGACATGGTGAAAGGTAGATCAGGGCTAGTTACTAGTGATTCATTTGTATCAAAAGTATAAACTACATATTGAGCATGATCATTACTTAGATATATATATATATA